CTAATCATGAAGGGAATCCTGCCATTCGCAACTACATGAGTGAACCTGGAAGACACTATGCTAGATGAAATAAGCCAGACAGAGAAAGACAAATACTGCATGGCATCACTCACCTGTAGAATCTTAAAATTTAAAAAGTCAGACTCACAGGAGTAGGGAGTGGAATTGTGGTCATCAGAGGCTGGGGGGGTGGGAGGAATAGACGGGGGCAGGTAAAAGGGTGCAGACGCTCGGTTACAAGATGAATCAGGGCTGAGCGGGATTGCTTGTGGGTTTTCCTAGCCTTCATATCGTTGGTGACACTGTATTGTACGATTGAAAGTTGCTAAGAGAGTAGAATTTGTGTTCTTGTTTTTAAAACAAGCTAAACATGTGAAGTGATGGGTATGTTAATTACCTTGGTGAGGATCCTCTCCTAGTGTATGCAGCGAATTGAATCATCCCACTGAATACTTTCAATACATTGCAGTTTTGTACATTATACCTCAATAAAGATGAAAGGATAAAATAAAAATAAAGAGAAATCATCAGCATTGAGAAAAGAAAATTCATCATAAGTCCACAATTTTTCTTGTAAAACGGCAAATGCATTCCACGTGTGTGGAATGTGCATGGAAAAGTAACACTTAACTTGTGTATAAAGAAGAACTTCCTCATGTTATCACGTGGATTGTTGCGGAACAGTAGTTGCCCCAAGGAGACCTAAAACATTACCTGAAGAGGCTTGGAGCCCAGTGTGAGGAGAGGAGAGGAGAACTTGCATGTTGCAGAGTTTTAGTCCTTTTTAAAAGTTATGAATTGATTTACAAATCTGCTTGTGTATTTTATCGAAAGCAGGAAAAATGTCCTGTGCAGATGGTGCTGCGTTAGCTTAGCGCACAGCACCGTGGGCAGGAGTTACATCTTCTGATTTCAGGCTTCGAGATGATGTAGCCGAACCAGCACTTGGGGAGATTTTTACACAAAGCCGTGGGCCGTTAATCGGACCCCATGTTTTGGAGGTGCCTGGTGATCCTACCAAATGCATTACCCAGTTTTAAAATGTCGCCCTCAGTGGGACTTGCTATTAGGCGATTCCACGAAACATCAAAGAGGTGCTTCAGTTTAATTCTCACACTGTGATCTGTGCCTTCAGAAATAGCACGCGGTTTGGAGCGGTATGTGAGAGCAAGACTCAGATCTGCTTGGTGCTGCGTTCTCTGCACGCCCATTGGCACCATCAGCCTTACCTCTCTAAGTGGGCTGCTTTCAGGGAGGTTGCGGAATAGGTGGTGTGGGGGCTGGGAGAGAAGCTGAGCAAAACCAATGGAAAATGGAAGCTAAAAATATATGATCGGATTCATGTGGAGGATAGTACAAACCAAAGGGAAACTTGTTTGAGCAGGTTATCAGAGCAGTCATTAGGGATCCATTGCTGAGGGTCTCCTGAATTCGAGGTCTCAGCTGGGTTGAGGTTCAGTGAGAGAATTCTTAGTAGAAATGAAACCTTGACACTGTTACATCAGGCTGTAAAAGAGATGCAGTTCAAGGGTGTTTTAGTGATGTTTATTCTGCTGTGGTCAGGTCTCCAACCTGACCTCTCTTGACACCCCGAGTCTCCAGGCTGAGTCAGGTGCCTGTGGGGCGGACTCCCCTGTCTCCCTGTGCTTAACTGGGAACAGAGGACCACAAGGCTGTGTGGCTGGTCTTTCTAATGATCTCCTTCCTCTGCGTGTTCGTGTTCTGTGGGGACAGGGAGGAGACTGTATCTTGTCCTGTGTACCTCTGTGTGCCCAGTGTCTACCCAACGTGTCTCTCACATAGTAGTTGTCAATAAATATTAGTTGATTGAATGAATGATTGGAGTTATTTATGAGCAGAATCCAAATGACATAGTAAAAACCTTTCCCCGGTGAGCCATGGTTAATTTTAAGAATTAGAGATCTTCTGCCTCTCAGAGAAATTCATAATTATCCCCTTCAAAAATGGGCAAAATATTAAAGTATATTTCTGATGCACTTGTAAAACTTGAAGACCTCATTCTTAAAATTAAGTTACTGCCATAAAACACATAGTGTGTGTGTTTCAAAACAAAATCTGCACCTAATTGTGATTTGGAGAGAATTCGTATTGAGCGATGGGGCTTATTTTAAAAGACAGCTAAATGAAAGCTTCCTGAGTCATCCCTTGAACTGGGTGTGTCTCAGTAGAATGGTGTCTAATCTGCTTGTTTATACACCCCTCACTTCCATGCCTGAGTAACAGAGAAGTCCTTTGAAAAGTTTTTTTTAATGCTTTATTTTTATCTGCCCACTGCAACGTGTTCGACTTTCGTGTGATTTCAGCTTTTTAAACTCAAGTATGATTTGTTGATACACAAACGCGACGTTTAAAACAGAAGAACCAGCGCACAGGGCTTTTCAGGAGAGGCAGAGAATAATCCACACCTTAGATTCTTACATTAACTTCTTGGGTAACTTGTGAGGCTGTCGACACGAAACAGGAATGCGGAACAGGAAAGCTGGAGGACTTCCGCAAGAGGAGGGCTGTAAGCTGTCTCTGGGTTCGTGCTGTCCGTCTGGGGTTCTGTGAAGGTTTCCCGCTGTCCTTTCTGGTTTTACTTTGTTCTGAGGAGGTGGCAGCAGACCACAGGGAGGGCAGTGGAGGTTCCCCCTCTCACTTGGGGTGTGAGGTGGTTTCCCCACATTCCTTTCTGAAAGTTAAGGAACTCATTCCGGGAGCCCACACCTTGCTTGGTGATGCTGGAGGGGGGACCCCGGGGGATGCTGCCCTGAGAAAGTGCCGGCTGGGAGGACGGAGTAGCAGCAGCAACCCTTAGCAGCCCCCTGGTTAGACAGCAGTTCCCTCCTCCTGCCTTCAGAACTGAATCCTGTCTCCTGTCCTTGTCTTGTGTTTCACGGATGTTTCTTTAAAAACTATAGTAGGTCGACAGAACGGATTTCAGCACTGCCAATTCGAAATCTCTCAAAGTGGGATCAGACGGACTGCGTGTATCTTGTGACGTGTTATAGTTTATTACGTTGGATAAAGTTAGCAAGGCCTCCTCCAGGTTCACAAGCAGGAGTCCAGTCCCCTTCCCTGCCCCGCTCCCTCCTCGACTCATCTGAACACACATGCCTGTGCACGCGCGCGCACACACACACAACCCCATGCCACGCTCTTCCACGTTCCAGTGTCTCAGCTCAAGCAGCTGTTTCCCTCTGGATGATGCTCCCACCCTTTCAGCCTGGCAGATTTCTACCAGGCTTTTAAGACCCTACAAAATACCGCTTCCTCTTTTAATTCCTGCCTTTGCCCAGTCATAATGGAATCTGCTGTTTTTGGAATTCTGCACTGTCATAGATTTCTGGGAAACGTTTATCACGGCACTTACTACACTGTATTGTGTAGATTTTTTTTTAAATGTTGGTATTCTACAGACCAGTATGAGTAGACCCTCAATGGAAATCCTGTAGCTTTAGGGGCTAGATATCATGAGAATAGCTGTGGGCGTGTGTGTGTGTGTGTTTGTGTGTTCCGTAGCTTTAAAGAGGGGGAAATGGGTTAAACTGAGGTTACCTAAAATTGTTACAGAAACTGATAAGCAATTGACTATGGAAAAAAAAATCTCCCTTGCTTGTAAAACTTCACCAGCTAGCCCTGTATGTTCTGTCAGTGATGCGATGCACCCAGCGATGGAGACGTCTGCAGAGCTCTCCACACCCAGCTGGGGGTACAGCCGCCAAGTCAAGTTGGTGTTGGCATTTGCATGTGCTTGGCTGAATGTAAGGTTGTCACCTGTGTTACCTAAGTTCATTCATTAGGCTGATTTAGAATGACCTTTTAGTGTTAGGCTAATATGAAAAGCTCCTTTGCTGAGATGAGGTGGTTTAAATGGTAGGGTTTCTACATCCAGAGATGTCTTCAGTCTCTAGGAAGGAGGGCTTTCGGGCATTGGTCTCGTTGGAAGAGAAAACCTTGGCAGCTGCGTTTTGGTAGCACTGCCCTTGGGACTGAGAAACGAGTGTTTGTAAAGGGCAGAGGGGAGGGTGGGGTGTGGGTGCTGACGAGGGTTAGGAGGGCGGCTTGCTGCTTCTCTTGCTGCCGTGGGCGTGGGCGTGAGGAGGTAAGGGCTGTTGACGGGGATGGATGGAGACGGAGGCATGGGTAGATGTTTCAAAGTAAACATCGACAAGACTGGGAGGGCTCGGTAAGGATGATGAAAAAATAAATCAGTAAAAACAAGCAAGTTGAGCAGAGCAAACCTTGAGGGTTTGGGCGGTGACCTTGAGTAGAGCAGGGGAAGGTGAGTGCACGCCAGCTAACCAGCGGGTTGTCGCCTCCGTGGCTTATCCGTGAGTACTCCTGCCGCCTATAGTGGAGGTCAGGCAGAGGCACGGACGCTCTGAAAGACGTGGACAACCGCCTTGATTTCTTCTCTTCGTATCCCTGCGTCTTCTCAGTCCTTAGACTGCAGCCGACTATGCAGAAAATGGACAAAAGTCCAAGTCCTTGCCCCCGTCTCTTTTCTTTATCCTTGAAAACAGTGTCACCTCGGGTCAAATGAAATACTGAATCATGTACAAAACCCACCAGGCGTGTGGAAACCAGCCCGAGTTTCTGACTTTCCCCAGCCTCCGGAGCTCGGTGCACCTCGTCGGCGTGCTCTCTTTCCTCTGAAGGTTTATCAGATCCCAGAACCTTAGCAAACCTAGATGGCACTTCAAGTTTGTGTGTGGCAAGTGGGAGTGCTCAAATACTTATTTGAATAACTAAACAGAAATTTTTTAGCTCCTCAAAAAGTCCAGGCACACGTTGTGCGGTCGGGGGAGGCCTTCCGACCCGGCCTTCCAAGCAGGAATCGGATGAGAGATGTCCCACGTGGCATTTCCTTCTTCAGCACCCAGTCACACCCCTGTCCTGTGGAGTCAGGCAGGAATTCAGGGCAGCGCTGGCCACACACACACACACACACACGAGTTTCATGTCACCCACTCTGATCTGGCTTTCTCTTCTCGCAGGTGCGCACATCTTGACCGACTCAGCAAGAAGGTGGATTTTCTTTGTGTCTAAAGAGAGAGAAAAAAAAATGTCCCTGTGTCTGTAGAGATGATTTGCAGTTCAGCCCGGCTGAAGCTGACCGAATGAGACTATGGGCTGTGCCTCCGCCAAGCATGTTGCCACTGTTCAAAATGAAGAGGAAGCCCAGAAAGGGAAGAGCTACCAGAACGGAGATGTGTTTGGCGGTAAGTACCTTTGAGCTTCATCCTTGGTCCGTCGGTCCAGGCCTTGCACTTAAGTGGCAGTGAGTAATTGCAGTGTTACTGTGTTACTCCGTTTCGGGGGGACAGTGGGGCAGGTCGAGGGCTGATGAGACAGGATAAAGATCAGTATGAGCTTTTACATCAGACAGTGTTCATCGTACTTCACACATAGAAGACTTGGGAGGAGGATCATGCAGGTTTCATGCAGGAGCTACATTTACATGAAGCTTTGAAGAACTTAGCAGAACTTAAATAGTCGCGAGGGACAGTGACCACAGGGTGTCCTGGTCCAAGAGAACTGTAGGACTGAACACGTGGACGTCCAAAAGTAGGGGAGGATTTATAACTGAGGCAATGAGATGACTTTTTGGAGTTACTCTGCGTGAATTATAAATGCTCAGATTCAAAGGTACAAATGCTATGGATTTAATAATCATCTTTGAACCTCCGCTGACAGTGCTTAGTGACTTGAGAATAACTAGTGCAGAGGTCACAGACTGCCAGCCCATGGCCACATCTGGCCTGCAAATGTATTTTCTTTGTCCCCTCCAGAGAGTTTTAAAATAAGAAGCTAGGCAGTCTTTAAAAATCAGGATGTTTCACATAAAACCTCCAGTTTCTTGCAAAGGTTTGGCAACACTGATGCATCATTTTCTGAGGCAGCAAAATGCAGGGTAGGGTCGCAGGTCCTGTGGCCTCCAGTAAACGGCCAAGCCTTCCCCGTGAGTGCTCATCAGGCCCCGGTCACTCACGGAGGCTCCCTGTCTGGCCACTTACCGGCTTTTGAGTTTGCCTGATCTTGAGTTTGTCCCTCGGAAAATCAGTGATTGCCCTGATGAAGTGTGGGTTCGTGTTCCTGCAAAATTCCAGTTCGTCCAGGCGGGTGAAGCAGTTTTTCCGGAGTGACTTCCAACCCACGACTTGACATTTGCATGGCCCTTTTATTCATCAAAGCTCCGTGTGGCGTTTATTGGATAAAGGACTTCACTGAAATAGTGTTCATGTGTAAACAGCTGAGGCTGCACCGTTCAGTCGCTGTCAGTAAACCTGCTGCGTTTGAGTCTCTGGCCTTCCATCCGATCTGTCGTGGGGTTGTCTCCTTCCCCTGGCGAGGCGCTGGGGACACCGTGGGAGGGGTCCTGCTCTGTTCCAGGTGGACTCGAGTGTACAGTGGGAGAAGGATTTCCTTTTGTTTTCTTGTAAGGAGATGTATGTTGCCTGGAACAAATTGGCTTCCAGGGGTCACGACCTATAGAACTGAGAACTGCGGAGAAGAGTCTGTGTACACATAGTATGTGAGCATCTTATTAAAACTAGAATCCACATCTTTGAAACCATACCTTCTGGGAAGACAGCTAATGAGAACTAGAGTCATTACTGTCACTCTCAAGCACTTAACTTTTAAGAGGGAGTAATCTGATCTCAGGGATTTGTTTAAACCAACTTCTGTGTGATGTTCTGTGTCATTGTCACTGTTGTAACCAGAGCTATGTTTGTGTGCCTCCACCATCTGTCAGACAGCGAGGAGCACGTGCATCCATTTCCGTGTGGAGTGGTCGCAACACTCCAGGGACGCCTGTGCCAGCTCAGTTGTACAGATCTGGAAGCTGAAGCCCCATGAGACTCACTGGTCCAGTGTTGCTCAGCTACTAAATGATGCAATCAGGTCTCAGCTTCAAAGTCCATGTTTCTTTCTCAGTGTCGTTTCCTGCTGCCCTGCTGCCTCCCGTCGGTCACTCATTCTTTAATGCAGAAAAATATTGGCTGGCTGGTGCATGATGTATAAGACCTTTTGATAAATGCCATGGGGGACGCAGAGGAAAAGGAGACGTAAACCTTGCTTTCTGGGACCTTATAAGAGGATGAGGGGGTGTTATGAGGCAGCATAAGCCAAACACCAGAAGAGGAAAAGACATACACCTGATGGTAAGAGTCAGAGGGTTGGAGAGATTGCCTTAAAGGCGGGATCAGAGCAGATTTCTTTCCGAGGTGACATCTGAACCTGGCATTAAAGGACTGGAGACTCTAAACCTATAGGATGAAGGGTGTAGGAAGGTACTGGATGAAGAAAGGCTGGAGGTGATTGATGTGACACATACTCAAGAATTATAAGTAATTTAGTTCGAATGGAATATAAAATATGAGTGAGAGAGAACTGGCTAGAAGACTAAGTTAGGGTTATGGAGAGCTTTGAATACCAAACTGCAATCTGTAGAAAGATAACCTTAGACTTGTAAGAGCAAAAATTCCGTGATATTCCATATATTGTATTTATGTTCTGCTTGGCAGTGAGACCAGCTCACCATCCATTTCGAATATGATTACAGCTTTTATAGCCCAGAAGCCTCTCTGTGGTTCTGAAGTAGCATGTGTAGCTGCAGCTGTCAGTATCTGATAGAAGAGGCTTGTGTCAGTCAGCTGTTGCCGGGCACTGGACAGCCGCAAGGTCTAAGCGGCGCTCAACAAGAAGCGTGTCTTTCTTGACCATGAGTCGGTTGGATGGCTGGATGGCTGGACGGCTCTGTTCCGTGACTCTCTCGGCTTCCTCCTGGGGCCAGGGAGCCAGGAGGTAAACGTGCAGGTGATACTCATGATGCCTCTGGAGCCTGGGCTTAGACTTGGCACCCTGCCGCTTGCGCCCACGTTTCCCCGGCCACATCAAGGCACGGGAACTGGCTCAAAGATCAAGGGGCAGAGAAGTCCGTCTGACCACAGCACATTCATGGCCAGGGTGTGGCTGTAGACAGGGGTCAAGAATTGGGGCTGAGAACTCCGTCTGCCCCAAGCCTGCTGGGTCGTTGCTGTCTGTCTGGCTCCGTGCCGTCCATGCCAGAAAGTGTACTTAAGGCCTCTGCCAGCTTCCCCTCATCTTGCCAAATACTTAAATAACTGAAGTTTTATTCACTCCAGCATCCATCCTCTTGTTACTCTTTCTGACATCAACACCTGCAGATTTATGACATGGTGTCAGTTGAAGCGGGAACCCTGGGCAGGAGAGAGCTGCGTGTACCAGCCAAGGGAGATGGTCTTCCTAGTCCTGCAGGGCCCTGGGAGTACTTGTCAGACTCCAGAGTGACCATGAGTGCTCAGTACCCCAGGTGTCACTGAGCGCTTCGCTTTGATACGAGAAGGTTCTGTTTCTCCACTTCAATGAGTTTGTAAGCGGCGGTGTACAAAATCCCCGTGGCAGCCCAGATGGTCACAGATGAATGGTGGCTCTGTCTCCCTTGTAGCCGTTTGATATTTTTGGTCACCCATTGTCTCAGTGACCTATTACCACCCAGCAAAGGACCCCGAACCTAGCAGCACTGATTTATTCTTTGTCCCGACTCTGTGGGGTGGCTGCAGTCCATCTATTTTCTGCCTGGGCTCAGCCGTGCAGCTGCATCAGCTGGGAGCTCAGCTGGGCTCAGCTGACCCGATGGCTTCAGATCTCTCTTTCCATCTGGGTGAGTGAGGCTTTCCACGTGGTGACCAGCTTCCAAGAGAGGAAGTGACGCTTCCACGCCTCTTGAGACCTGGGCTTGAATATCTATTGAATATCCAAGAAGGTCGCTTTTGCTGCATTCTGGTGAGCAGAGCAAGTCAGAAGACCAGCGCAGAGGCAGGGGAGCCCAGAGGCTCTCCGTCTCTGAGTGTGTGCCTGTGGGAAGGGGGAGAATTGATGGGCGCCATCTTTGGAGACCAGTCACCAAGCCCGTTGACAGAGGCAGTGAGAACTCATGCTGGTTGTCTTCCAACCTGGACAGCCGTACTCTGCTTTCTAAATCACACCTCTGTTTTTCGCTGAATAAAGTGGCCTCATTCACTTTTTAAAGGCTCAGTGTTTTTAAATATTTGAAAAAATGTTGTTACCACGTGTTGTTGAAGAGTTGACAAAGTCTGTGAAAGGTGGCATGCTTGGGGGCAGCTCTGAAGTATGTGCCTCTGAGTGTGTGTCCACCCACAGGTTTGATCCTTTTCCTAAAAGTGTGAATTTAATTTCATAGCTTCTAAGGACATGCTGGGGAACGTTGATAAGCAGTGTGTTTTCACAAATGGTAATTTCTGCTTATAGGGAGCCTTTTGGTCTCTGTGATATTTTGGTTATTCAGGAGACTGACCACTCCAATTGTGTGGGAGAGAATGTCTATAGGAAATTCCACGATCGAGGATTAAGTACTAAATGTGCATCTTGACTCCTGCTTTCATAGACGTTGACAAGGAGCTTTATCACTGACATTTACCTACAGGCTTTTCTTTCACTTTAAATATCGAAGCATAAAAAAATTTCAGATCTAAAGTGGTGCTTCAACACTGTGGCCCTTTCAGAAGTAAAATCCAGGCCAGAAAGCGCCGTCTCCAGATTGGAATTTTCCCTCCCTCCGTGGTCAGGGCCGACGCGAAGGGTGGTCAGCCGGTCTGCTGAGGTCATTCAGAGGGCAGCCGAGCAGATTGCCAAGAGCAGCTTGCAGAAAGTAAGTGACTACCGGGCTCAAGTTTTCAGGAACTAGTTAAGCAAGTTCTAGGGAAGGCCAAGTGCTTATTGGATTTCTTTCAACAGTCATTCACTTAGACCCTTAAAGTGGGTGCACGGAGCAGATTCGGGCCTTATTAGGGAAATTAACGTGTCTGACCTGAGGTCATTATCTCTCCGCCCACCCCGAAGGGGCGAAGGCTTAGTCATATTGCCTTTCCTATTTGTGTGAAGGTCACCATCATTCTAGCAATGGTGTAGGCTTTAATCTTGAAAAGGCTTGAAACTCGAGGCCTCTGGCTCTTCCGGTTCCCACATCAGTGAATCAGCCTCTCCTAGCGTCCTCTCCTGCCACGGTAACCCGTGGTGTTAGCCCCTCGCCCAGACGAGTGCATGTCCTCTGAACTGATGCTCCATTGGCCCTGTTGGTTGGTTGTTCGCTGCTTTGCTTTTTTACTTTTTGGTTTGTTTTTGACCCTCTTTTTTGTTTTGTTTTCGGCGCCGTTGGCAGATTGCAGCAGGTTTT